GATTTTTTGGATGGGTAAAACGACCAATCTCTGGCCATCTTAGATTATAGGTAAATGGGAGGAGTAGTTCTGATAAGATCTAATGGCAAAATTGCACACGCCGGAATTCCTAAACGACATTAAATTATCTGGTGTACCGAATCACAAGTTAAGATTAAAGGCCGGGACTTCGGTGATGCTTTTGCGAAATATAGATCATTCAATGGGGTTATGTTATGGAACATGATTCATTCTAACCAGGCTTGGTGATCATGTTTTGGAGGGAAATATTTTAACTGGTGTCAGTGCGGGACAGAGAGTATTAATCCCAAGATTGTCCATGACCTCCTCGAATGTTAGCTTGCCTTTGAAATTAAAAGGCGACAATATCCATTTATGACTTCATATGCTATGAGTCTATGACCATAAATAAAAGTCAAGAACAATCATTGTCCCGTGTAGGGTTGTCGAATCAATTTTACCCTTGGACAACTCTATGTTGCGGTGTCTAGGGAGAATAACCGGTGTGGCTTGAAAATACTAATTTGCGATGAAGACAAGAGAATCACTAACACGACTCAAAATGTTATTTGCAAAGAAGTGTTCAATAATGTTTAGTGCAACATTTAATTCATTTTGACACATATGGGGGGGGGGGGATTTAGTTGAATGTGTTTGAGCTTTTGAGTCATTTTAGTATTACATCCATCCCAATGGACTTCACACTCTTTGAATTAGGTGAAAAATAAGAAAAGTAAGAATTGTGTGGTTGAAATTTGTGTAGATGAGAGAAAAATGAGCAGAACTATAAATTAGTTGCTTTAGTGAAAAAATGACAAAAAAATGGGACAACAAAAAAAGGAAAATTGTCAAAGTCTAATGGAATGGAGAGAGTAGTATATTTCAATGTATCTTTACAATCTTATAAAGGTGAACGAAGGTAAGGGCAGTTTGGGCATGGAAAATGTGTTGGTAGTAATCATAAGCTAATGTAAACTTGTATTTTGAGCTAAAATTATTGTACCTTAGTTTGTCAAACACATTAATACCGGAAGGAACATCAAACTCCGTTAGTTGAAACCGTCAATTACTACCTCTATTTTTGCTAGAATGCTACTACCTCTATTTTTGCTCCCAATGCTTAACAAGGAGTACTTCGTATTTCTTAATTAGTTTTTTCTTTTTCTTTTATGCTTTAACAAATACTATCATTACTATGTATACTATATTACTATGTAATAAGCTATTAGATTTATGAGTATGGATGTCTTTTTTCCTTTCTTTCTCAAGCAAAAAATTGAAATAGTAGAACTGTCAACACGATTTTTTAATAAACTTAGACCCCGTTCGATACCACTTGAAAGTTGCATTGGCTTAATTAGCTGAGTATACAAAATTGATGAAATGATAACTGAAGCGGTTGAATTATGTGAAAATGATAACTTCCTATTTCTTAATTAGTTTTTTCTTTTTCTTTTATGCTTTAACAAATACTATCATTACTATGTATACTATATTACTATGTAATAAGCTATTAGATTTATGAGTATGGATGTCTTTTTTCCTTTCTTTCTCAAGCAAAAAATAGAAATAGTAGAACTGTCAACACGATTTTTTAATAAACTTAGACCCCGTTCGATACCACTTGAAAGTTGCATTGGCTTAATTAGCTGAGTATACAAAATTGATGAAATGATAACTGAAGCGGTTGAATTATGTGAAAATGTTGAATTGTAGAAAAAAATATACTACGTATAAAATACTCTCTTCGTCCCATTTAAAAGTTCTCCTGACAAAATGACACGATTATAAAGACAATAATTAAATGTGCTAATTTGAGTATATTTTTAGAAATAATTGTAATGAGTATGTAATACAATGAGTTATTGATGATTAAATTATCATTTAAATTGCTTCCTAAAAAAGAAAAGTGAGAAACTTTAAATGGGACAGAGGGAGTATTTTATTAATAGATTTGAGAAAAAATTACTCCGTATATAGAAAAGGAAGGGTATACTTCTTACTTTTATCATTTGCAACTACATTTTCATAGTTCTATAATTTTTTGGGGGTGGGATATCTTTTTAAATCTATTATAGTATACGCTCATGATAATGTCAACATCTTTGATAAGGATGAGACTCAAACTTGCGATCACCTCGTTGGGAAATCAACAATAATGCAATTAGACCATGAAATACTTGGCCGGCCTATAGTCGCTTCTATCTTAGTATATATGCTCCAATTTTCTTCATAAGCATGAGTGCTTTACCCATATCAAAACATCAAATAAATGATATTTGTCAATAGGGCCACTTATTTAATACTTTCATATTAATGTACATGATTAGTACAACTGAATTTTGTGAGAATAATGAGCAAATAAAAAATGATTATGCCCAACTAAATTTGCATGTGATTGATATGTCTATGCTTTATATTGCAATATAAAGGTTACATAAACCGAGTTCAGACAATGCCTATCTTTCATTATCATCTTCATTGAGCCATTTGTAAAATTATATCCAAAGTAGGTATTATTTGCTTGGTTCATTGAAGATAATTTGTATTATTTAAAGTTATATGCGGATAATTAACGCATTATAAAAATATTTACTTTGTATATTAGTGAATCTTATATTTTCCTCGATATTTATTTACAGTACTTTTCATTCCTATCTCGTAAATTATCATGTCAAGGTCTTATATTAGATCGAATGTGAATCATCTATATAAATACTTACTAGATGTTTGTCATTGTGTTAATGTGCACATTTTCAAAATCAAAATCATTGGGCATTTTATACATTCGCGCATCGCGCGTGTAGAAAACTAGTTAGATTACAAGTGTGTATTATATTGTGTATTATGTTGTTATCAATTATCCAAAGTGATCGTTTTTTAAATATCAATGTAGCAAAGAACAACATCTTGCTGCAGAATGTTTTTGTAATACAATGTTATCATGATAAAATACTTGATAAATATTCACGGATTGTGTTCACTAATTTCATAAGTCAGGCTTGGTAAAAGCAAAATTGAAACAATTGAAATAAGCATATGGGGCAAACTGCAACAATAATAAGCAAGTGCCATTTCACTTGAATTTCTTGGCTCTAGAAGGTTAGAGACCGGGGAGGATCTATGGACTTTGTATGCTGAAGTCCAGGGCAACTGAGATTTTATATACTTTTTTTAGTGTAGTTTTTTTCATTTTTCACATTTAGCCCGCCCCTCTAATATTTAAGTCTAGTATAATTTCTATTCAGTTCAGGGCATCTCAGAATCCTGGATCTGCCCCTGGTTAGAGACTACCAATATCCGTATCACTGTTTAAGAACATTACTATATTCAAAATTATAGATTGATACCTCTACACTTCAGAAAATAGGCAATTCAAGATAATAAAGGATCACCAGAAACCGAAAACCGAATCGAAAAATCCAAACCGCAACCAAAACAACCGAACCGCAAGAAAACCGAAACCGAACTCAAAAAACCGAACCGAGCCGTAGTTGTTTGGTTCCGGTTTTGGTTTTCACATCTCAAAACCGAATCGAACCGAAAAAATGAACTTTTTAAAAGATGTTGTTTTATTTATTAATCATTATGTATAATATTTTTTTTTAGTTCTTAATTCTTAATTCTAGAAAATTAATGTTTGATACTAGAATTATTATGATTTGCAAGATATTGACATTTAATATTTATTGTTTAATTAAGTGAAACACTTGTACATAAACTTAAGTCTATTACTATAATACTAATATGTTACTATTTTAAATTGTAATTTACATTTTTCTTGTTGTGGCATGACAATGATACTTTGCTGATATATTATATGTTATGTATGTTTGTTATCACATAATTTTTTATATTGAAAAAATATGTATTAATATAAACTATACTTTAAACAACATAGCAGAAAATGTGAAACTTTAGAGCATAAATATATTTGGCTAAAAAAGTAGATTAAGTTATTTACTAATAAAATTTTAACTTGTGAATACTCTGCATATAATTCACAAATAAACTCATGCGTTTAATTAATTTAGAAAATGTTTAAATTGGCATACACATACTCTCTAATTCATTGCTTGCAAGTGCATTTGTTTCTTCTATCTTTTTTAATTATGTATGTTTTTGTATTGTATTGTATTACTATAAATACTAGTTTGGTGTAGTTTATTTTTTGTTTTGTTTTTCAATTACTATTTTTCTAATCAACAAAAATACTTTGGTAAAAACCGAACCGAAATAAACCGAACCGACAAACCGTGGTTCCAGATTTTTGAACATAAAACCGAACCGAACCAAACTTTTTACTTTGGTTCGGTATTTGGTTTTAGGTGAAAACTGAACCGTTTAAACCGAACTCACCCCTACACAATACGTCATCAATACACAATTGTCAAGCTACTCGTAACTATGAAAAACGGAAAAGTACTAATTTTAGACTAATGATGGATAATCATAATACAAGGATACATGCCGAATTCTAGTAATGTAGTTCTATGCAACAAATACGGAGAGATATTCAAAGAGAAGTGGTCCTTTTTTACAAAGTTAGTTCTATGAAAACATCATCGGTCGTCAAAACTTGATAAAGTCCCACACCGAAAAAATTAAGAAGCATTCGAGTGTTATATTAAGCTCCAGGCTACTCGTGATCAATGATGTTTTCAACTTGAACTGGTGTTTTTTACTAAGCTAATATGGGAGTATGATGTAGACTTGTTTGAATTATTTCGGTCTACAAAAGAGAAGTACACAAATTTACTTGACTAAAAAACTAACTCAAAATGGAAATCAGACCAATTAATTGTGTTCCTATTTTAGCTCAAACCGAACTTGATTGAACCGGTTCTAATCTGCAATTGAAAATTGGAGTCACTTCTTTTCTTGCCCGGTTCTGATTTCTGAAAGAGGATTGGGAGAGTTTGGCAGGAAAGGTCATCAACCAATGAAGTTCGCTTCAGTCTTTTCCAACGTATCCAAAAAACTACCCTACCAAGTTTGTGGGAAAAAATGGAATGGAAAAAATCACTCAACTATAGGCATGGACGGGCCCCGGTTCGAGCCGGGTCTGACCGGGAATGGAAAAAATCACTCAAAAATCTGATTTTTTTTCCAAACAAGAGAAAGAATGAAAGTTTCTGGTTCATCATATGATATAGTACTCGGCAATATATAAGCACTGCCATGAATGTAAAGCTAAGCTAGGGGCGTGAACCAAGTGATGATTGTCCTTTTCTCTTCCAATTACTACATAAATATGAGCATGCATACCTTTATTAACACTTCATATATAATAATTGATTTCTTCCTGTGGTTAGGGGGATCTGCAGTCAACCCACTCTCGTGGGAGGTAAGGCTCAAAATCCTGATTGATGCAGCTCGAGGTCTGGCATTCCTCCATACATCAGAGAACAAAGTGATTTATAGAGATTTCATGGCCTCAAACATTTTACTTGATGGCGTAAGTTTGTTTATTACATTCTGTACAATTGATAATATAACTTTTTTTAATTCTATCCAACTTTTGTTCACTACTTTTTTTTATTACTTTTTTCAGTACTTTTCTAATTTAAATTTCATTTAAGTATTTACTTTTCAACTTTAGCTTTGATCTATACTTTCACCTTTTAATTTTTTATATGACCTATGTGTTTTTACCTTTTTAAGGAATTAAAATAGTACTCCGTATAAGGTCAATTTAACTTCTATATTTTCTTAAAAGTTATGCTCAATACAAATGTATATTACTTGGTGGGAGGAAGTACTACAACTTTCCTAGCTCGGATATGTATTAATGTATAGATATGTCCTTCCCCTCTTGTGTTGATTTATTTGTCTTCATTTTTCTTCTCTGATCCAACACAGTCATATAACGCAAAGATATCAGACTTCGGCTTAGCAAAGTTTGGACCTTCAGCCAGCCAATCACATGTCACCACTCGAGTTATGGGAACACCCGGATATGCTGCCCCTGAGTATGTTGCAACAAGTATATATGTTTGCGTATGAATTAACTGAGCTGATGAGCGGTCGTATACATAATTCTATCAAATACACTTTTTTACAAAAATAGATATTTCCATAATATTACTCTAAAATCTCACAGACAAAATATGACAACTATATGATCAATATAGTTACTGGATTACTGCAAAAATATCATCACACTGTAAAGTGAAATAGAACATCAGATTAGCACTACATTTACTTGTTAATTAATACCATTGGATGGGCGTGCAGGTCAATTGTATGTAAAAAGCGACGTGTGTGGTTTTGGTGGAGATGCTAACAGGATTACGGGTCGTAGACCCGAACCGTCCAAATGGACAACAAACTCTTGTTGAATGGATTAAGCCACATCTTGCAGAGAGAAAGAAGCTAAAGGATAAAATGGATTCTCGGTTGGCGGGAAGGTATCCTTCCAGAGCTGCTGTACAGATTGCCGAACTTGCTTTGTCCTGTCTAGGATCTGAGCCTAAGATGAGGCCTTCTATGAAAGAAGTAGTGGCAACATTGGAACAAATTGAGTCTGTAGATGAGAGACCAGGACCAACAAGGAAGACAACTAATAATTCCAGAAACACTAAATCTTATAGACACGGTGGCAGTGACCACCGACCTTTGCGTCACTGTCACGCCCCAGACCGCAATCCAAGCGCGTGTACAACCGCCGTATAACTATGTAGAGTCGTAGTCTTCGGTGTTGGTTTCATACACCGAGCTTACATGGCCATCACTCACAGTTTGAGCTTGATGACCTCCACGGCTCCCACGGCCTCCACGGCCTCCTCTTGAACCCCGAGATGCAGCCCGGCTTCCCCTTTGGGACGCTACCGGCGCCTGCCCCCTCGGATTGTTCCTGGTCCTCATTCGCCTGCCCTCCATTTCTGAAAGAAATATGGATGAGTCATTAGACTCCTATGAATGTCAACTGACGGAAGAACGTTACAGACACGTATTGGCCCAAGTCACTACCATACCAATTGCTAAGGGTACCGTCTTAACAATTAGAGGCCTTGCAACTTAAGCACCAATAGTCCTATAAACGTCAAAATACAATGCTCATGGTTTTCGGTAAAAACTCTTTTGTAAAATCTTTTGTGAGAGGTTGATTATAATGTTTAGAACTGAGATGGCTCTGATACCACTTAATTGTCACGCCCCAGACCGCAATCCAAGCGCGTGTACAACCGCCGTATAACTAAGTGATGTCACCCACGAGTCAACCTCACTTAATTACACAAGGCGTTCGAGAAAACAATCCATCCACTTAATTGTCACGCCCCAGACCGCAATCCAAGCGCGTGTACAACCGCCGTATAACTAAGTGATGTCACCCACGAGTCAACCTCACTTAATTACACAAGGCGTTCGAGAAAACAATCCATCCATACTCAGTAGTAAACATACATAACAACATCACATTCAAACCAATGAATAGCGGAAATATTCAACGGTACGTCATGAGCCACAACCGGCCAACAACATGGGCATGCAAGCCCAAAAATGGTTTATAGTAAAACAAATACCCATGAGCAAGTGTTCGGTAGTTTGAAAGAAAATAAGGAAGCACGAACCACGTCTTCCTGATTTGATATCACCCTTGAGAAGGTGCAAGTAGCAAGCCCTAGCTTTAACCTGAAAATGGTGGGGCCCCCCGAAGGGGTCAGTACAAGTACCGAGCGAGTAGCAGGCTAAATATGGAATAACTAGCGTTTCAAGTATAAGACCCAAACATAGGGTGATACTTAAGTAAATAGTCTTTCCCCCAAGTTACGAAATACTTATTAGTATATATATATATATATACTTGGAAAATATCCGATCCGTAGATCACCATTTTATTTGGGAAAAATAGTAATAGTCAATATTCTTGACTAAAAACCCCAACCCACCCATATACCTATGAGTGTATAGGACTCCTCCTTGTCCCTACTTGTATATCACAATCTATGAGTTTTAGGATCATAATCCTTGGATACTCCACCGGTTTGTGAGTGTTAAGGACTCATAAGTCCTAGGGTCCTCCACCAAGTTTTGAGTGTTAAGTACTTTTAAGTACTAGGGTCCTCCACCAAGTTTGAGTGTTAAGGACTTTTAAGTCCTAGGGTCCTCCACCAAGTTTTGAGTGTTAAGTACTTTTAAGTACTAGGGTCCTCCACCAAGTTTGAGTGTTAAGGACTTTAAGTCCTAGGGTCCTCCACCAAGTTTTGAGTGTTAAGTACTTTTAAGTACTAGGGTCCTCCACCAAGTTTGAGTGTTAAGGACTTTAAGTCCTAGGGTCCTCCACCAAGTTTGAGTGTTAAGTACTTTTTAAGTACTAGGGTCCTCCACCAAGTTTTCCTATGATCAATCTCTTATCAACCTAGATAGAGTCTATATCATCCTTAGTTACTCATAACTAATCCAATACATAAATCTTATGTATCACAATCCATGCAAAGCCATGCATTTATATAGGTTTATAATTTATTAATACCAACCGGTATTAATTAAATCCTTTGTTCTTCGGTCCACGTTTTCGTTGACCGCCATTTCATGCCTTGTGTGTATCAACTTAATCATCATATAATTAAGTTAATAATATTCATTTGTGCTTCTAATACACTTCAAACAAATATGCATTTCATATAATTCTTCATATCATGTTCCATGCATCAACAATTAATTTCTTTCATACAAACTTAACCCTATCGGCTAATCACATGTTTAAATATCTTTTAAACATCATTATGAAATCATATAACATTTATTTAGGTAATCTCATAGTTAACCCAAAAGTTATAAGATATTAAGCCGTCCACTCACCTTGAACTAGCGTTATGAAGTTCTACCCTTCTTGGTTGAACTCCGGTGAAACTCCGGCGACTTTCGGTCAACTCCGGCGACAACTCCGGCGACTTTTCCAACTTTGTGAAATCACTTGAAATACCCTTTACAAGTGCCTAACAAGGTTTTAACATCATAAAACCTTAATCAATACAAATAACCTATAAAAGGTTATTTTCCGGTGAACCGGTCGTTTTGGCTTTTAAGTCCGTTCTTGGACATAGACTCACTTTCCAATCCATTAATCCATACTTATAACATGTAGAACCCTCTTAAGGATTCTTCACATGGTATGTATCTCATAAGGTAGAAGAAAAATAGAGAAGAAGTTATAATAAGGTCATTACCTCAATCTTTTCACACTTTTAGCACCCTAGCCCCTTTTCTTGGGATTCCTTCTTGTTGAGCTCTCTTCAACAATGGAGAATGAAGGATGATGGATTTCTTGCTCTTGCTGGGTGTCTCTTGGCCGAGAATGAGGTAGAGGGAGGGGTGAGGGTAACCCTTTGTCTCATTAAACAAATAAGTGTGGATGGGATCCACCTTATTTTGTTTGATGCTCTTTCCTTCACTTCACACACCACTCACATGCTATTCTCACACATCCAGCCGGCCAAGCTATCAATTTGGGTGACCAAAGTCGTGGGTTGGCCCCCACCCAAGTGGGAGGTCAACCCTTTTTGTCCCGAAGTGCACAATTTGTCCCGAAAGTTGTATTTTTCGGACTGTTTTAAATATATTTTATTTTATCGGGTCAAATAAAATATATTATGTGCTCTTACTCATTATGACATGTATAATGAATATACATTCCCCAACTTTAATTTATAAGCCTCCGAAATTCATTTCCGGGCTGTTATCTGTTAAATTACCAGTACCGGTATTTTGGGCTGCTTTTGGCCAACCGGTCTACTCTGGGCTTTTCCATATCCCCGATGAAATATCCACCACTATACATTTATTATCTAGACCAAGATGAATAAATATATGGTCTCGGGAATGTCAGGCGGCCCCCGCTCCCGGTGTGGGTCCCACGTGCAATTTATTATTCGTGCGAAAGAAATAACAAAAATTTACAACTTCGTAAATTCATTAATTCTTTAATAAGGTCCAAATACATTATTTACATAAAAGTAAATATATTTGGGGACGGTGTTACAAGTTCACCCCCCCTTATTTGGGATTTCGTCCCCGAAATCCAAGTATCTAATAAAAAAGGAATGGGTATTGCTCCCTCATTGAGACCTCGGTCTCCCAAGTTTCTTCTTCGACTCGATCACTCCTCCAAAGAACCTTTACCATAGGAATCTCTTTATTCCTAAGCTTCTTCACTTGTTGACCAACAATCTTCACTGGTTCCACCGCATATTGCAAGTCCTCACGGATCTCTACCGGTGGTTTCTCAAGAACATGAGATGGGTCTCGTATGTACTTCTTGAGCATTGATACATGAAACACGTCATGTATCTTCTCAAGTTCAGGTGTCAACTTGAGACGGTAAGCCACGGCCCCTATTCTTTCAAGGATTTCAAATGGACCGATGTATCGGGGATTAAGCTTTCCCCTTGATACAAATCGAATGATGCCCTTCCAAGGAGAAATCCTTAGGAAGACCTCATCACCGACTTCGAACTCTAACGGTCTCCGTCGTTTATCTGCATAACTTTTCTGTCGGTCCTGAGCGGCCTTCAGTCTGTCCCGAATGATCCTTACCTTGGCCTTGGTGATCTCAACCAGCTCTATCCCTTCGAGTTTGGCCTCGCCAACCTCGTCCCAACACAACGGTGTTCTGCATTTCCTCCCATACAATGCCTCATATGGGGGCATGCCGATACTTGCCTGATAACTGTTGTTATAGGCAAACTCCACTAGGGCCAAATGCTTGTCCCAACTTCCTTGGAACTCCAACGCACATGCCCTAAGCATGTCTTCCAAAATCTGTATCACCCGCTCGGACTGTCCATCCGTCTGTGGGTGAAAAGCTGTGCTAAACTTCAGTTTAGTCCCCAAAGATGCTTGAAACTTTGGCCAAAATCGGGATGTGAATCGTGGATCCCTATCCGAGACAATGGATATTGGGACTCCATGTAATCTCACAATCTCCTCCGTGTATAGCTTGGCCAATCTTTCAAGAGGATAAGTACTGTTGACAGGCAAAAAGTGTGCACTCTTGGTGAGCCTATCAACTACTACCCAAACTGCATCATAGTTGTTCACTGTTCGTGGTAGTCCCACCACGAAGTCCATGGTCACGTGCTCCCACTTCCACTCTGGGATGGTGAGTGGCTGCAAAAACCCTGCCGGGTGCTGATGTTCTGCCTTAACTTGCTGGCAAGTAAGGCATCGACTCACATACTCGGCGATGTCTCTCTTCATACCCGACCACCAGTAACTTTCCTTCAGGTCCCGGTACATCTTAGTACCTCCTGGATGCATAGCATAAGCTGAAGAATGAGCCTCCTCGAGTATAGACTTCTGGAGGTCTTCATTCTTTGGTATGCACACACGATCCTTAAACAATAATAGACCATCGTCACGTACCCGAAAGTTCTCAACAGACCCCTCAATGATTCGTTCACGAATCTTCTGACACTCCTCGTCAATGGCCTGACATCTACTGATCTCACCCAGCAATGTAGGTCTGACCTCAAACCTAGCAATGAGCGCCCCGCTCGTGGATACCTCCACGTGTGCCCTCAGTGCCTGTAGACATGTGAGTAGCGTCCCCGACGTACTCTTCCTGCTCAGTGCGTCGGCCACTACATTGGCCTTTCCGGGATGATAGTCGATGATCAAGTCATAGTCCTTGATCAACTCCATCCATCTCCTCTGCCTCATATTCAACTCTTTCTGAGTGAATACATACTTCAGGCTCTTATGATCAGTATAAATGTGACACGTCTCCCCGTAGAGATAATGCCTCCAAATCTTCAATGCAAACACTACCGCCCCCAACTCTAGATCGTGAGTAGGGTAGTTCACCTCGTGTTTCCTCAATTGCCTAGAAGCATAGGCAATCACCTTACCGTTTTGCATCAGTACACATCCAAGCCCTTGGATGCTAGCGTCACTATAAATGTCATACCCTATCCCCTGTATGGGTAGGGCAAGGACTGGTGCTTCGGTAAGTCGTTTCTTCAATTCAAGGAACCCCTTCTCACATTTGTCGTCCCATATGAACTTGGCCCCTTTCTTTGTGAGCTTCGTTAATGGGGACGCCAATACGGAGAATTTTTCCACAAATTTACGATAGTATCCCGCTAAGCCGAGGAAACTACGTATCTCCTTCGCATTTCTGGGTCTCTCCCAATCCATGATCGCTTTTATCTTGGCGTTATCCACAGCAACACCTGAACCGGATATGACATGACCGAGGAAACCAATCTCTTTGAGCCAAAATTCGCATTTGGAGAACTTGGCGAAGAGTTGCTTTTCCCTTAGTCTATCAAGTACAAGCCTCAAATGATGCTCGTGCTCCTCCTCACTCTTGGAGTATATCAAGATATCATCAATGAATACTATCACAAATTGATCTAAGTATTCACTAAACACACGGTTCATCAAGTCCATGAATGCCGCCGGTGCGTTGGTTAAACCAAACGACATCACAAGGAATTCATAATGACCATATCTAGTGCGAAATGCACTCTTAGGTATGTCACTCTCCTTGATCTTCAACTGATGATATCCCGACCTCAAGTCAATCTTCGAGAACACTATTGCTCCTCGAAGTTGATCGAACAAGTCATCAATCCTCGGTAAGGGATACTTGTTCTTGATGGTGACCTTGTTCAACTGTCGGTAGTCGATACACATTCTTAGTGTACCATCTTTCTTCTTTACGAATAGTACGGGTGCTCCCCACGGTGACTGACTGGGTCTGATAAACCCGTTGTCCAATAGTTCTTGTAGTTGGACCTTCAACTCTTGAAGTTCGGCCGGTGCCATCCGATAAGGAGGAATCGAAATGGGTTTGGTCCCCGGCTCCACTTCGATTACAAACTCAATCTCTCTATCGGGTGGAAGCCCCGGTAGGTCCTTGGGAAAGACGTCCGGGTACTTGCACACGACTCGAACATCCTTGATGTCGCCTTCTTTCTTCGCGTCATCTACCACGTAAGCAAGGTATGCGTGGCATCCCTTCCTCATCATCTTTCGTGCTCTCATCACGGATATGATACAAGCATTAGATTTTCCCCGATCTCCTTCAAAACGTAGCACGTTTCCTTGCTCATCCTCGAGCTCTAACATCTTGGTGTAACAATCTACTCGAGCATGGTGCTTCTCAAGCCAATCCATTCCTAGGATTGCATCGAACTCCAACATGCCTAGAGGTACGAAATCACAAGTCAAGGGTTGACCCGTCACTTCCACCTCACATGATGGATAGTAATGATTCCTCTCCACATCGTCTCCTAACGGTGTGGAGACTAGCAACGTTTGCGTCATAGGTGTCAATGGCACGTCAAGGCCCCCGGCGAACGCCTCACTCACAAATGAGCGTTGTGCCCCGGTATCGATGAGGATCCTCGCGCACCTACCATTGATCTTTAATGTCCCTACATTCATGAACCATGTAAGACATCTTTCCTACCCTCCCTACTCATTTATAGAAGGTTACAATGTTCACACCCACATTACTGATCAAGAAAAGGTCTTAACGTCGCGAAAAGGTGCGAAAAACTTAGTTTTAGGCATTCTGGGTGCCAGGCACGGCGTGCCTGGGGTAGGCACGATCGTGCCTGGCTCGGGAGGAAGCCAGGACGCCACTGCCTGGGAGACACGATCGTGCCTCCCTTAGGCACGATCGTGCCTGGGTCGGAACAACGCACTGGCAGACACTGCCTTGCAGGCACGATCGTGCGTGCCTTAGGCACGATCGTGCCTGGGTCGGAGAGAAGCGCAGGTACCTACTGCCTTGTAGGCACGATCGTGCCTATCCTAGGAACGACCGTGCCTGGGCGAAAACAGCCCAAAATGGTCCGAAATCCTCCCGGTTCGACCCTAAAGCTTCGTGCATCGATCCTAACAATTAGTAACCTCAATTTATGGACTAATTAAGGATAAAACACTAGTATACGAGAGGCAATACCTGCAACGGAATCCGGGTTAGCTCTCGCATCCGCCTCGGTCATCGAGTACACTCGGGCTTGGGTCCCACCTTGGTTGACGGATGCGGCATGGCTTGTGGATGCGCCGCCTCTTCCCGTGCCGCCGTTTGACGGCCCCGCACGGTTCCTTCCCGTCATGGTTCCTCCTCCGGATCCCGGAGCTCCTCCTCCCCCTAATTGTGGGCAATTGGCCTTCATGTGGCCCGTGTTCCCGCATTGGTAACACCTTGGGGGTGCATTGCACTTCCCAAAATGATTTTTCGAACAGTTGGCACACTTTGGAGGCCCCGCCCTTTGTGAGGAGGATGCATGCCACCGAGCATCCCTGTTCTTCTTTGCCGGTGGTGCCGGTGTCTTGAACGAACCGCCACCTCCACCGTGCTTATCCTTCCGTGCTTGCTCGGGCGGCCCCGAACTTTGCCATTTCCTCTTTCTCGCCTCTTCGGCGTCTCTCTCTCTTCTCTCATTCCATTGGGCCTCCCCGAGAAGGCCCTGCTCCACCACCTCGCTGAAGGTCATGTGGCGCGAGTACGTAGCTCGGTCACGGATGTCCAAGAGTAGGGCATCCCAAAAGTGCTCCGTCATGCGGTTCTCATCAACCGCGTACTCCGGCAAGAACCTAGCCAAGGTTCTAAACTCTTGTTCCAGTTGCTTAACTGTGCTGCCCTCTTTCTGTTTGAGGTTAGTGTACTCTCTCCGTTTCACATTCACCTCGTACTCGGAGTAGTATTGAGCATAGAACTCTAGCTCAAAATCCGCCCATGTTATTTCCCCATGGTACTTCCCTTCCACGCTCTCCCACCACGTAGAAGCTATCCCTTCAAGTAGCCGTGAAGCGACAGTCAACTTCACGTCCGGTGTGATTTGCATGTCTCTTGATGCATCCTTCACCTTCTTAATCCAATCGGCGGCAACGGTAATGTCACCGGTGCCGTCAAAGGATCTACACCCCAAGGCCCTCGCTTCCTTGAGGTACTTGGAGATTCTCACAACAAAACCTCCTTCACGCCCACCTTGTGACGCCGCTGGGGTGGCCACGGAAGCTCCCCGGCTTCCTTGACCCGAACCTCCACGAGAGCCACGCCTCGCTTGGCGCCTAAGGTCTCTCCTCAGTTTCTCCTTTTGATACCACTCTAGTAATTCGCCCATTTGAGCGAACTTGGCATCACTCTCTTCATCATCATCGTCCGTGTACGTGTCACCCCCATCGTATGGGGTCTCCTCGTGCTCCGTTTCCGGAACATATGTAGAGTCGTAGTCTTCGGTGTTGGTTTCATACACCGAGCTTACATGGCCATCACTCACAGTTTGAGCTTGATGACCTCCACGGCTCCCACGGCCTCCACGGCCTCCTCTTGAACCCCGAGATGCAGCCCGGCTTCCCCTTTGGGACGCTACCGGCGCCTGCCCCCTCGGATTGTTCCTGGTCCTCATTCGCCTGCCCTCCATTTCTGAAAGAAATATGGATGAGTCATTAGACTCCTATGAATGTCAACTGACGGAAGAACGTTACAGACACGTATTGGCCCAAGTCACTACCATACCAATTGCTAAGGGTACCGTCTTAACAATTAGAGGCCTTGCAACTTAAGCACCAATAGTCCTATAAACGTCAAAATACAATGCTCATGGTTTTCGGTAAAAACTCTTTTGTAAAATCTTTTGTGAGAGGTTGATTATAATGTTTAGAACTGAGATGGCTCTGATACCACTTAATTGTCACGCCCCAGGCCGCAATCCAAGCGCGTGTACAACCGCCGTATAACTAAGTGATGTCACCCACGAGTCAACCTCACTTAATTACACAAGGCGTTCGAGAAAACAATCCATCCACTTAATTGTCACGCCCCAGACCGCAATCCAAGCGCGTGTACAACCGCCGTATAACTAAGTGATGTCACCCACGAGTCAACCTCACTTAATTACACAAGGCGTTCGAGAAAACAATCCATCCATACTCAGTAGTAAACATACATAACAACATCACATTCAAACCAATGAATAGCGGAAATATTCAACGGTACGTCATGAGCCACAACCGGCCAACAACATGGGCATGCAAGCCCAAAAATGGTTTATAGTAAAACAAATACCCATGAGCAAGTGTTCGGTAGTTTGAAAGAAAATAAGGAAGCACGAACCACGTCTTCCTGATTTGATATCACCCTTGAGAAGGTGCAAGTAGCAAGCCCTAGCTTTAACCTGAAAATGGTGGGGCCCCCCGAAGGGGTCAGTACAAGTACCGAGCGAGTAGCAGGCTAAATATGGAATAACTAGCGTTTCAAGTATAAGACCCAAACATAGGGTGATACTTAAGTAAATAGTCTTTCCCCCAAGTTACGAAATACTTATTAGTATATATATATATATATATATACTTGGAAAATATCCGATCCGTAGATCACCATTTTATTTGGGAAAAATAGTAATAGTCAATATTCTTGACTAAAAACCCCAACCCACCCATATACCTATGAGTGTATAGGACTCCTCCTTGTCCCTACTTGTATATCACAATCTATGAGTTTTAGGATCATAATCCTTGGATACTCCACCGGTTTGTGAGTGTTAAGGACTCATAAGTCCTAGGGTCCTCCACCAAGTTTTGAGTGTTAAGTACTTTTAAGTACTAGGGTCCTCCACCAAGTTTGAGTGTTAAGGACTTTTAAGTCCTAGGGTCCTCCACCAAGTTTTGAGTGTTAAGTACTTTTAAGTACTAGGGTCCTCCACCAAGTTTGAGTGTTAAGGACTTTAAGTCCTAGGGTCCTCCACCAAGTTTTGAGTGTTAAGTACTTTTAAGTACTAGGGTCCTCCACCAAGTTTGAGTGTTAAGGACTTTAAGTCCTAGGGTCCTCCACCAAGTTTGAGTGTTAAGTACTTTTTAAGTACTAGGGTCCTCCACCAAGTTTTCCTATGATCAACCTCTTATCAACCTAGATAGAGTCTATATCATCCTTAGTTACTCATAACTAATCCAATACATAAATCTTATGTATCACAATCCATGCAAAGCCATGCATTTATATAGGTTTATAATTTATTAATACCAACCGGTATTAATTAAATCCTTTGTTCTTCGGTCCACGTTTTCGTTGACCGCCATTTCATGCCTTGTGTGTATCAACTTAATCATCATATAATTAAGTTAATAATATTCATTTGTGCTTCTAATACACTTCAAACAAATATGCATTTCATATAATTCTTCATATCATGTTCCATGCATCAACAATTAATTTCTTTCATACAAACTTAACCCTATCGGCTAATCACATGTTTAAATATCTTTTAAACATCATTATGAAATCATATAACATTTATTTAGGTAATCTCATAGTTAACCCAAAAGTTATAAGATATTAAGCCGTCCACTCACCTTGAACTAGCGTTATGAAGTTCTACCCTTCTTGGTTGAACTCCGGTGAAACTCCGGCGACTTTCGGTCAACTCCGGCGACAACTCCGGCGACTTTTCCAACTTTGTGAAATCACTTGAAATACCCTTTACAAGTGCCTAACAAGGTTTTAACATCATAAAACCTTAATCAATACAAATAACCTATAAAAGGTTATTTTCCGGTGAACCGGTCGTTTTGGCTTTTAAGTCCGTTCTTGGACATAGACTCACTTTCCAATCCATTAATCCATACTTATAACATGTAGAACCCTCTTAAGGATTCTTCACATGGTATGTATCTCATAAGGTAGAAGAAAAATAGAGAAGAAGTTATAATAAGGTCATTACCTCAATCTTTTCACACTTTTAGCACCCTAGCCCCTTTTCTTGGGATTCCTTCTTGTTGAGCTCTCTTCAACAATGGAGAATGAAGGATGATGGATTTCTTGCTCTTGCTGGGTGTCTCTTGGCCGAGAATGAGGTAGAGGGAGGGGTGAGGGTAACCCTTTGTCTCATTAAACAAATAAGTGTGGATGGGATCCACCTTATTTTGTTTGATGCTCTTTCCTTCACTTCACACACCACTCACATGCTATTCTCACACATCCAGCCGGCCAAGCTATCAATTTGGGTGACCAAAGTCGTGGGTTGGCCCCCACCCAAGTGGGAGGTCAACCCTTTTTGTCCCGAAGTGCACAATTTGTCCCGAAAGTTGTATTTTTCGGACTGTTTTAAATATATTTTATTTTATCGGGTCAAATAAAATATATTATGTGCTCTTACTCATTATGACATGTATAATGAATATACATTCCCCAACTTTAATTTATAAGCCTCCGAAATTCATTTCCGGGCTGTTATCTGTTAAATTACCAGTACCGGTATTTTGGGCTGCTTTTGGCCAACCGGTCTACTCTGGGCTTTTCCATATCCCCGATGAAATATCCACCACTATACATTTATTATCTAGACCAAGATGAATAAATATATGGTCTCGGGAATGTCGGGCGGCCCCCGCTCCCGGTGTGGGTCCCACGTGCAATTTATTATTCGTGCGAAAGAAATAACAAAAATTTACAACTTCGTAAATTCATTAATTCTTTAATAAGGTCCAAATACATTATTTACATAAAAGTAAATATATTTGGGGACGGTGTTACAGTCACTCTCCTCGATCCCCCTCTTCACCCACCTCGGAAAGATCCAATCCACAGTCGGACATAATTGAATACTGTTGTTCTGACCGGTGGGCGTAGCTCAACTGGTAGCAAGGGTGCCACAAGGGTTAGGTCTCGGGTTCGAATCCCGGCAACTGCGATGAGGGGTTACTATGCTGAAAAATGCATAGGGTCTCTGTAAGTACCGGGGACAGAGCCCCACTCTCTATCTGTCAGATTGTGATTATAGTCCAATTTACATCCTCCCATCGTGCCGTCCGGTCGGTGGTGGGGGGCCCTCAGGGATGGGGTGTCATCCTTTTTTTTTTGAATACTGTTGTTCTGTACATGCCATTGGTTTTTTCCTTCATTCTAATAATGTATATAGTAGCGCTAAAATTCTGTGCATGTGTATCATATGTAAGAGAATTTCATGTGGTTCATATACGGACTGTGAATCCAAGAATGTAGCCATTACATGATTTTGTGTAAAAGATTATGTGAAAGTTTCTTTCTAACAGCATACCCCAATATTCTCTTCTAGCTACACCGCTGTTTTGAACATAGATAAGATTAAAACTTTGACGATGATAGTTGCTACACTAGAATAGCAAAATGTTGTTTTGCCACTATGACGATGATAGTTCACGTTCTTGCCAACATGGAGACATTGCATATATAGACAACATGAACTAAGGGGAGGGTTCAAATACAAGAGACCTTCTGATGCAAAGTGAGAACAAATCTTGCACATTCAATTCAAGATCTAATGGCTCAAAATAAGCTGACAATGCATTAGATTTGATTTAAAAAACGCGGTAACAATTTGTAAATAAATCAAAGTTTTTTGACACTGTGAAAGTGCAACAGAAACATGGAATACCATTGCATTGAGTGAAAAGTGCAATCGTTCGCACTTTGCACCGGAAACTTTTTATTTGAATTCTCCCCACCTGAACTAAACTTCTTCTATCTATGGAAATTACCCTACTAAAAAATTTGTATATTCCAAAATAGGATTATCATATTTTTATTTTCTAAGTAAGAGCAATACTGTTTTGTTTTGGTAGAACGAGACTTTAAATTAACAAAATAGAGTGCAGAACTCTCTGCTTAATTTCTAAAATGTAAGAGAATAAGTGTGGTTCAACATTTTTCCATTCAATCTATTCCTTGTTAATCTTTGGTAACGTTCAATGCAGTAAGGGAGGTAAGCACAAGAATGTGCTTCAACATGCAACACCTATAACTAATTGATTAGGGACATAGTTTTAAGGATCTCATTTAATTACAATCACAATTCACAAGAGTAATTATGCGTGGACAGTGGACTATCATGTTTTGTCCGTGGATATATTTTCAGACAAAAAAATAGACGCACATACAAGTGCAAAAACGGGTGAACTTTGAAAACGTGCACATTTTTTTGCTACAAGTAGCTATACACTTATACGCAGGGCGAGAGCTAAACGCCTCGCATGGCTCTAATGCGCGGAAAAAGGCGGCCAGCCCATTAAAAATTATTTTAACTTCACATGGGCTGTAGCAAAGGAAGCCCATGTACAGCAGATTAGACTCGGTCTATGCCCAGCTGCTGTTCTGAATGCAATGACCGTTTTATTATATAGAAACATAGAGAGAAGAGTCATCCATGATTTTCCGGTGTGGGATAACTCTATGAAGCGAAATTCCAACCCACAAGACAACATCAGTTTTTTTTCGAACGGAGGGACAACACCAGCTATGCTAAGTTGCTCACATTGACAATAACTATGATTTTTAACATCATTACTATTGTTATTGTTGGTGCTATTACACCATTAGTATTATTAAAAATAATTACAAATACGATAGTATATAAATACAACAAAAATAGTGGACAATAATGTGATACTATCATAATAGTAACTTTAGTAACTATAATTTTATTGAAATTTTACATACATCATAAGATGTTTTACTTGGACTGCAATCTGTCTCAAACCAGACCAGACTTGAATAGTTATAAAAATACAAAAATTCTAGAACTGATCAGATCAGACCAGATCAAACCTGCAAATTATAGTCCAAATAATAACATTCATAGTAATAATAAAACTTACACATAGTAACTAGTAAGTTATAATAACATTTCTATACATAAATTTTTATATTAGTAATATTTTAGGAAGAACTTGTTATTATTATTGTTCTTGTTACTACAACTATTATTATTACAATTATTCTTTGTAAACCATTATTTTATCATGAAACTATCCTACTAATTATATTATTGCTATTGTATAGTAGGTTATGTATGGTTTTAAGAACTGAGAAGCTTAATTGTTTGCATATATTACGTAAAAGTGTGCATCATATTTGCCAATATCACATTACATGTTTACTAACCACTCTGTGAAAATTAAAAATTTAGTAAGAAACTAAAACGCCTTTTTACGCCTTTACCACGCGTTTGAGAACACTGCCTATACGGGGGCAAAGTACAAGCTCTGGCCTCTGGGTAGGCTAAAAAGTAGAACAAAGTTTCCACCAACTGGTTTACGAAATGCTTGGAACCAAACACTGGTCACTGGGGCTGTTGGCTGGAATTCTTCACTTGTTTGTGTTGTAGCAGAGCTATTATGCGTGGCCCAAGCCGCGGGAACGTGTTCTGCTTCATTTCACGGATAAAAAGTTCATTCACCCAAGGAAAATGGCAAGAAGTTCTTTTACACTACCAATCACTCCGGAGGGCAGGGGTTGAACTAACTGACATTTCTGTGTTCCCTCCCATTCTTAAAGCCTGCTCAAACCTGTCGCTCTCATTCACTTATGGTCTCTCCTTCCACGCTTTTCTGCTCAAGCATGGTTTCTTCAAGGCATTCACTTCAGTGGGGAATTCCCTTATTGACTTTTACGCTAAATCTGGAAACTTGGGTGCTTCAATACTTGTTTTCCACTCCATGACCAACCCAGATTCCGTGTCCTGGAATGTGATCATCCACTCACACCTTCATCAAGGCGTTTTTCCTCAGGAAGGGTTGAGATTGTTTGATCAGGCACGTGTTGCTGGATTTCAACCCAATGTCTCTACATTGGTGCTTGTGATTCAGGCTTGTAGAAATCTTGCGTCTTTTCATACTGGACAAAAGATTCATGGTTACTTAATTCGCAGTGGGTTCTGGACTGCACTTTCCGTGCAGAACTCTCTGCTTAATTTCTATGCAGAATTCGAAATGGAACTCACATGGGACCTGTTTGATGAAATGAGTGACAGAGATGTTATTTCTTGGAGTGTGATCATTGGTGGTCTTGTTGGGAGTAAAGATGCTATCCTTGGTCTGGAACTGTTCAAGGAGATGATATCTGATTGGGGGATAAGAGTAGATGACCAAATAGTTGTGAGTGTGCTTAAGGGATGCAGCCGTTTACAGGACATTAAAATGGGAACAATGGTCCATGGTCTTGTGACATCCACAGGTTTGGGCCAAGATTTGTTTGTTGGGAACTCTCTGGTTGACATGTATTCAAAATGTAACCACATGGATTCTGCCGTTCAAGTGTTCAGTGAAATCCCTATCAAGAATACAGTTTCCTGGAACTCACTGTTGTTTGGACTTGTCCGAAATGGCAATCATGCTGAAGCTCTTCTTTTGTTTGGTTCCATGGGCAATTCAGGAGAAAAAGCTGATGAGGTAACGTTAGTGAATCTGCTTCAGTTATGCAAACATTTTGACGAACCTCATCCATGCAAATTAATACACTCAAGAATATTCCGGCTAGGTTATGAATGGAATGAGCTGGTTATGAATTCTGTACTTGATGCTTACACCAAGTGTGGCCTCATCGCACTTGCTTGGAGACAGTTTAACAACATGGAAAGAAGAGATGTGGTGACCTGGAGCACCATGATTGCAGCCTTCACCAACCAAGGCATGCCCAATGAAGCAATTGCTGTTTTTTCAGAGATGTGCAGGAAATCAGTAAAGCCCAATGCTATTACCATGATAAATCTTCTTGAGGCTTGCTCACTTTTTGCTGATCTGAGAAGATCAATGTGGGCTCATGCTGTTGCTATTAGAAGATTCCTGGCCTCTGAAGTCACAGTTGGGACCACAATATTAGACATGTACTCAAAATGTGGAGCAATAGAAGATTCTAGAAAAGTATTTGAACGGATACATTGCAGGAATGTCGTATCCTGGAGTGCTATGATCGCAGCATTTGGAATGAATGGACTTCCAAATGATGCTCTGGACTGCCTTGATGAGATGAAATTGAATGGGCTGAAACCCAACACAGTAACCATTCTTTCTGTGCTATCAGCATGCAGTCATGGAGGGCTGATTGAGAAGGGGATCTCTCTCTTTAAAGAGGCAGCAATTGATCTTGAAGGTGAACTGGAGGTAGAACACTACTCATGCCTTATTGATTTACTGGCTAGATCCGGAAAGGTCGACAGTGCAAGAGATTTAATAGAGAGACTACCTCATGGTGGAAAAAATCAGTGTAAAACTGCATGGGATGCAATCTTAAGTGGCTGTAGAATTCACGAGAACAATGAGATCGGATTTGGTATGCTTCCTCAGGTCCTTAAATTAGAAGCATCAAACTCATCTGCATATTTGCTCGCTTCAAGCATGTATGCTTCTAGTGATTCGTGGACTGATGCCACCAGAATGAGATGGTTAATGAATGATAGAGAAGGCATGAGTACTGGAGGTGCTTACAGTTTAGTACATATAAATGGCATGGCATGCAAGTTTTATGCTGGCAATAACCGTACTTGTTTGTCAGACGACCTGTGCCTTGCTATTGAGCGACTACACTCATGTATAAAAGTTGATTGCATGGGATGCTGCTATTTCAAGTAGAAAATGATGGAAACAGAAATCCTACTTTGGTCTTAAACTTTTCGCTTCATTTTCTCATTGAGATTCGACAGCTAGACATACTTACGTGTATATAAACTCCGTATTTTGCTGAGGTGGATCAGATGGGAGATGTTGCTACTCTTAAGTTGCTTCTTATTCGTGAGATATGTACATTTTGGATCTTCAGTGCACAAGAAAATGAACCCCTGCTGCTCTGTGGTCCATTTTCCTTTAAAAAAAACTAATGGCAGAGAAAAATGTAACAAACTATCTCCTACTCGCATTACAGGCCCACGCTATATGAGATATTTCCATCTGCTTAAGTGCTTATGAATGTGCTCCAGATTATAACCAATGTGTATCAGATAACCAGTGGGTGTCTATACATTCTTCAAAGATCAGAGAATGTATAGTTGGATAGCACCCAGGATTCACCAATCTTCTGTATGAGTGGCTTACCTACATCAGCTTAATAGAAGGCTATGGGTAAATTCCATGCTGTCTGCCTTCACAATGTTGTAGGGTAGATTGTAAATGGGAGGGATTGTGCAAGTCTAATAAGTGAAGTTTGGGACAATGAGAAAGTTTGAGTGAAGTTGGAGAAACGAGTGTCTACTTGAAATTTCGTACACAAGACAAAGTGGAGAAATGTCGCAGATAATTAAAAAACTGAAAATATTGTTCTCATCAAAACCAGGAGAAACTTTGAATTCCATTAACTTTGTAAACCAGGAGGAACCAAGGTAGCCTCTGATCTTCAGAGGGGATATCTGGGAGATGTTGATATTTATAAAGTTTTGATTCTTCTGTTTAAGCCTTGAAAGTGGTAATCGTGAAGGTTGTTGTCCGGGTCTGAGTGCGTATCCCCGCACCTCCCCCCGTTCATAGTCTCATAGAGTTTAATGAGTTAATTCATATCTTTAGTACAGAACTGGTTATAGAGCACCCAAAAGTATCTTTTTATTTTACATGGAAGTAACAACAAATAAAATAGAGGTACCCATTGCCTTCACATGAATATCAACTTAAAACTATTCCTCTGAAGAATTTTCTTTGATTTCTTTACGCCCAAATAATGTAGGCAGACGCCAAAACATAGTTTGCTCCGAAAAACAATGTGCTGCTGTGGCAAGTTGACCGTAAAAACAGATACAAGTGTATCTGTATATACCAGTATACAGATAATAATATTACCAGTCAAATTATAATCTGATGAGAATTATTAATACTGAATGTAGGAGCAGTATCAATACAACAGTTGTTAATAATATATCAGTACAATTAATGGAAATCAGGCCAGCAATAGCACAGGCATCGTAACTAGCTAATTACTAGTAATTGATAAGCTAGACTAATAATACATGAACTAACTAACAATAAGGCATATAGTATAGATTCAAGTATTCAACACGGTCAAACTCAACCGGTGCTTAGAGAGCCAATCTTAACTCCAAATTAGGCAGGCCATAGGTAGAAGAGTTGTAAACATCAGGCAGTGATGAAGAATGATGATGATGATCTTGTGCTGCAGGAAAGTTCAAATCCAAGTAAGCCCCGGTGCCTGGATTGGGATGAGGATGGCCTTGGTCAGGGCCAAAGCTACTCTTAATTAGCAGTGGAAGAGGAGGAGGAATCTTGTTGAGCCAATGGCGCCTCTTGTGCCCGCCCAGCGCTTGACCGCTTGAGAAGGCCTTCAAACAGATGCCACACCTGTGCCGCTCTTCCTCCTCCCCCACGCCAGCCATTAACATCACTCCTGCTGCTCCTGCTTTATTATTATTATTATTATAACTACTACTACTATTATCATTACAACCCGAACATTCAAATGGCGCGACTGCCACGGATATTTCATCATCCATCCTAAGCGCTGCCCGCTGCTGCTGATGTTGTAGGCTCTGCCGCCTCTCACCAGCACTCGCAAGCATTAACAGGCACCCTGCCACCTCATAATCATCATCATCATGACCATCTCCTCCCCAGCAGAAGCTGTGGCGGCTCGGAGGAGAAGACGAGGTGACAGGTGGCGGTCTGGCGAAATTCGGCGGAGGGTTGATGCCGCGCCACTGCCTTTCCGGATGGCAGCGCATGTGTCCAAACAGGGCCTTCCAGGAACAGAACCTCTTCCCACACTCCGTGCACTGCGGCATTCTGTCGGAGGCGCTAGTAGGGACCACCGGGCCATGCCCCTTGCTTCCTCCACCGACGGGAGGGAAGGGAGATGAAGACTGCTGATTCTCCTCCATGCCCACCATCATCGTTCTGCTTCTTCTCCGCTTCTTATATATGGGAGGAAGCGGTTTCTGCTGGTCGGTGGCAGAGATATGGCTGCCAGCAGGGTTGAAGAAATCGTGACTGCCTTGCTTTAACATCCTTAACTGATTTTTACTCGATTTCTTTGTTACTAGGGTCGAGGAAGGAGACGGAAAGAACATCAAGAGAAGAAAAAGTTTGTAAGGGAAGGGGTGTCTTCCTTATGTAGAACTGGCGATGACGGTTATTGTCGTCCCTATCCCCACTCAGTTTCCACGTGCGTATATAGGATGTAAATCTATAACTGTTCCCCGCCATTCTAATTATACCGTTTATGCGCCTATCACGTGGGAATCCTTTCATTAACTGTCTTCACAACTTTTTTTAGAGAGAATTTCCTAAATAGGATAAAAACGTTTTGAAATTCCAAAATAGGAATATCATGTTTTTTATTCCCTGAATAGGAGTAAATTTCTGCCAAGTTTGGCATTACAAGGCTTTTAAACATGGCATTTTTTCCCAAACTTGGCAGATTACTCTTATTCAGGGAATAAAAAACATGTTGCTCCTATTTTGGAATTTCAAAACGTTTTTACTCCTATTTAGGGCAATTTCTGTTTTTTTTATCATAACCGTCTTCACAACTTTAAAAACCACTAACTATCATCACTTGATTTTTAGATGATTTTAATTGGACGGTATATTTCAAGTCTAATCTAGTACTTCGTATGATATGACATGTTTAATACTCGGTATTTGATTTGGTTTAGTAGATATATAAGTAATTGCTTAAGATAGGATTAAAACATTAAAGAAGTTCCAATATAGGAGTTACTGTTGATTTACTCCCTATATAGGAGCTATTTCAAAAATTACTCGTTCTCTGAATTGATTTATTCCAAATTACCCTCCCCAAATTTAATAGTTGGCTCTTGCGTCAATAGCTGTCACGCACTCCTTCATTAGCTGTCAAACACTCCTTCCATCCAAGTTGTCATCTCACTTATCTCTCTGCACATTCACGGAAGTGGTTTATACAATGAAATGCCTCTCTCCTCAAATTAGAACACACTTCATGTGTGGTAAAGATTTCACCGGAGAAAATCCTTCATGTGCTGTAATGATTTCATTGGAGGGGCACACATCGCATCCTAGTAAGAAAACTGAGGCGGCCGGCACACCAAACTATACGGCGGCGGAGCTACTGTGTGGCGCCGCCGCGGCGAAGCTGGACACCTAGGTGGGTTTTCTTCTTTTGTTTTGTTCTTCTCCCTCCTTGCTCTTGTCCTCTCTTGTCTTCTTCTCTTGATTTTTTTTGCTATTCTCCGTTAATTTTTTTCATTTATTTTAGATCTAGATTCTAACTGAAAATTATTATAGGAGTAATTATGGTATGCAAATTTTGGATTGAAAATTGTACGAGTATTTGAGATCTGTGAATTTTCAAATTGAAATTTTTTTAAACGGTTTATTAATTTTTTCTATACCTACTAATATATTTTTTAAAATAACGTTACTAGTTTTTTTAATGAAAGTTGGAACAAATATCATTTTCTAGTAATTCCTTTATCAAGATGGCAATAACATAATAGTATTGTAAGTTATTGCTATTTTAAGATGGCAATAAAATGTCTATGTTTTTGGTAATTAATGCCATCACAAAGTTATAATATCATGTTTTTGACAATTAGTTTCATCTATATGACAATAATTCCATGATAAATGGCAATATATGACAATCCCCAATACATAATATAATTCCATGACAATGTCAAAATGAACAATGAATCTTCTGTTTTAATATGAATACCATCATGATGACATTCAAGTTATAAAATGACATTTTAAATCATTTTTCCAGATTTGAGGGGGGGTGGTGGAGTCACAAAAGGCAAGCACAAAGAGTGATAGGAGCAAGTCGACGTATAATCCGGTGGCACCAGTGGATGGGGCTGTGATGCTGGCAACCGGCATCAACGAAGATGGCGGCGCCGGTGACTGGCGGCAACAGATATGGCGACTCCGGCGACGGAGGAGATTGGCGGCGGTGATGTCCAGTGACTGGTGGCAACGGAGATGACTGGCGGTAATATTGGCAGAGGGAGCAGAGGAGATGGTGGTGATGTCCGGCGACAGAGGAGATTGACAGCAGTGATGTCCAGTGATGGCGGAGACGGCCGACGACGGTGGCAGATCTAGGTGGTGTCAGGTCTAGGCAATAATGATGTTGTCGTCCACTTGTGGCACACAGGACTTGGTTGTATATATGCTTTTATTTATTATTCTATTTTATACTCTGTTATTTAATAAACATGTAGAATTTTCATTAAGGGTAGTTTTGTCTACTCATGTTTTTGTACTCCTATTCAAACTTACGGGACATAGGACTTTTACTTTTGCACATTAGTTATGTTTTGCTCCTAATCACGGAATTATCTCTTTATATATGTTGTATGTTGTAATTTCTGAATATTGATCGTCAAATAAAATTCTAATAAACTTCGCTTTTTTATACATAGTATATAAAACTCCGCATTTAAAAAATACTACGGGTATGTAGTATTGAATTTCACATTCAATAAAATATACTACGTACGTAATATTAAATTTCACATTCTCTATATCTTATCTAGGCATGGACTGATGGACATACAGTAGTACGTTTTAAGGGAGCGTTTGCGACTACTTCTACTTTTAAAAAGTGTTTTTATAAAGTGATTTTGGAGAGAGTACTTAATAGTAAAAGTTGGTAGTGTTTGAGAAAAAAGTTATTCTGAAAAAGTAAAAGTTGGTAGTTTTTGGTAAAATAAGTACTTTTTGTGTAATAGAAAAAGTGAAAAGCAGTTTAAAACACCATTCCGCCTACTTCCAGCTTTTAGCTTTTAAGTAATTAATTTAAGTAGAAGCTGTCATTTGAAAACAGTCTTTTCAGCTTTTTTTAAGGCAAAAGCTGAAAATCGCTTTTTTTAAGCAACCGCAAAGACTCCTTAAGTTGGTTCCATTCTTGGATTTGCCAATTCTAAAAGAAATCAATGAGGCCTGTAATTGAGACTTATACTCCTGATTTCAAGCCTAATATGGTCCGGGCCCCACCTGATCATGGTCTCTATTCGATCAAGTTTATTTATTTGTTTTTGTACTAATAAATTATCCTACATAAAAGTAAAAATGTTTGTGAATTCTAAAGTAGAATAGGCATATTTTTATTTTTTAAATAGTAATGATTGTCATAATTTGTCATTACAACATTTTAAATGTGTCAGTATTTTTCATGCTCGGTAAATAAAAGATAGACTTTAATTTGAGAGTTGCCTATTGAATAAGTTTTATAAAATATATAGAGGATAGACTTTGATTTTCTATCTTAATAGTTTCTAATTTAATTGGGAATCTTTATTTAATTAAGGACAAAAGGTGAGAAACACGAGTTCTATTTTATTCACCCCTTCATGGAGTGTGAACATCACCCTCTCCCTCTAATACATGCATGCCACTTGGCATTAAAATTATTCTTTTTCTTAAAATTAGTATAACTTTTTATATATAATCTAATTTTAACAAAAAATATATTAATACTCTAATCTGTGTTCGTCTTTATGAATACGAAGTGAGTCCGTGGAAATTCTCTCGGCTCTTTCTCTCTTTAGGGTGGATCTTCACTGCTAGGATTTTTTCCTCCGCTATCGTTTGTAACGAGGAGAAGCCGCCGCAGGCGGGTTTAGACGTGCATGGTTTCTTTTTCCGTCATCAATTGTGCGACTTTTCTTCTTTTTGGTCTATGGTTTCCGAAGGTTGTGCAGGGACGGAAGATGAATGTTTGGTCTTAGGCGGCCAAAGGTCATGCACGAAGCGTGGGGCTAGGGACTGCAACAGATCTAGATTCAAGATCATCTGTGTTAGGTGGTGACATAGGAAGCTTGGTAAAGAACATGATGATTAAGAGGCAAGATCAGGAATAAGCTACAGTATTGTTGGATCGTCCCCCTCCTGAACCGCCGCCATGGAGTGCAGGAGAGTCTAGGGTTTGGAAGCGTCATTTTAATTTTACTGTTTGCTTGCGATTTATTTTTCATGATCAAACTATTTATTTTTGTGTTGGTTACTTTTATTATTGTAAGACTCTTGCATTAGGATTGGGTGATAGGAGGTCTGCTTTAACCGTCTTTGGCTCATGTAAGCCCATTATAGGATCAGCGAGTTATATTGCTTCTCTGAAGGTGATTGACTCTAAGTCTAGTTCGAGGGTTGACGGTTGCATGTGGTCCTTATATCGTTTTAACCCCCTTCTGAATGGCAATGCTGTGATATCAATGTAAGCCCCCCTCTTCCAAAAAAAAAACAAAAAATATATTAGATTTAATAACTTTTTATGATCTTTCCAATTGTATCCATATTGCATATATAAAAAATTGAAAAAAAATTCTTTTTTTCTTACATATATTTTAAGTCGTTTTTTTTAATGTTTTACATATTCAATATTGGTATCATATGAAATATCATAAAATTAAAAATATTGATATATTTTTTGAAAAAATTGAACCAAAAATACAAAAGTTATAACAATTGCAAAATCTAAAAGCATAGCCATGCCATGTGGCAGCCCAATAAGGGTGGGGTGATGTTCACCCTCTTTTGAGGGGGTGAACAAAATTGTTCTCGAGAAACACACCTTATAGTTTGATGACATCACTATGAAATAAAATATTAATGTATAAAAAGGAAGTATAATTCAAGTTTGTTATTTCATCCTTCAATATAACTTTATTTAATAATATGATTTTATATATCTAACTTTTATAGCTAAACTGTCTGCGCTTCTTTTTATGAAGCAACAGTCAGTCCATGCAATTTTCGACGCGATTTTCATCATGGGTCATCCAGAAACAGTCTTTCTGTGCTTTAGTGCATGGGTAATACTGCGTACATCCGACCCCCCTCCAACAAAGTTATCCCTATATCTGATATGTAGAACATAGTAGTTTTTTGTCAAGGTAGGGGGCACGTTTTTTTCTTAAGTAATACTGTAATACTCCCTCTGACCCCCTAACATTGTCCCAGTTTACCCTTTTTATTTGTCCCATTAAGTTTGTTCCATACAATATCCGGTAATATTTGAGTGGTTACAATTCATTTTTACTTTAGTCACACTTTATCAATTTAATATCAACCACACAAATTCCCTTTTCTTAAAAATTGCACCACACTCTCTTGTCCCAATCTTAGTGGGACAAAGTAGTCATAATAAACTTCGGGTTGGAACTAAGGGTGTAAACGAGCCGAGCCGAGCCCAAACTCGCATATGCTCGAACTCGAGCTCGAAATTATTCTACATGCTCGAGCTCGGCTCGACTTCGATCGAGCCTAAATTTTTAGATAATCTTAGAGGTTTAAACTATAAACGTAGTATGAAGAAGTGGACTTACGAACTACAAAAAAATGTCAAAATGGGGGGATTCGAACTTATTTTGCCAGCTCTTCTTTAAACTTGATGATGAATCACCAACTGGTCTACACCCATGATTGTTGCAATGATGATCTCAATTTATTTTTATCCTTAATTTGTACGGAGTATTAGCTAATAAGAAAATAAATACGTATTATTATAGATAAAATTACTGCATACGGTTATAATAATAAAAATACTACTTATTATATTTAATTATTATTACATTATTACAATATCATAAGTATAGCTGTAATGCTGTATTAGAAATAGAGTACTCCTAAATAGAATAAATATTCCAAAAATATTATATATATATATATATATATATATATAATTATTATGCATAATATATTTATATACAAAGCTCGCGAGCCGGCTCACGAGCCACGAGTCTAAAATAAATAGGCTTGACTCGAGCTTGTTAAGTATTCGAATCGAGCCGAACTCGAGTCGAGCATTTTCCGAGCGATCTTCGAGCGGCTCGCGAACGGCTTGGCTCATTTGCACCCCTAGTTGGAACTCGGAAGCAGGGGCACTTGCCCCCAGGCTCCCCCATTCCTACGTCCTCCAATTATTAGGACATCTCGTGAGAAAGAAGAATACAGATTGTAGAAGATCTCCCATGTGTTTGGTCAGTGTGAAGATAGTAAAGATTAAAGAAGTCCATGATCAATCATTTCTGAGTGCCTAGAAGAGAGACAAAGCAACGAGCCAACGAGCCAACATGAACTACTGGAGAAAAAAGTGAAATGCAGACGACTTTCAGGCACTTAAAGAGTTATGTTCCATTGCAGCTTCCATAATCCATAAAATGGCATTAAAACCATACACAATAGTATGCATTCCGGGGAATCATTATGATTATTCAAAGTACTTGTTAGTAAAGAAGTACATTACGACTCAAAGTACATCCATTTGTAATCATCATTATCATCATCATGAATGCTTCCATATGTAGTGAAAGCAGATAACCAATCACACACAAACATAAGAAAACAATATATAGGCGTGTAAATATCTGTGCCGCATATGGATAAAATCAACTACGCAGTAATAGTGATACAATACAAACCTCGGATGATAATTATGTTGATGATGACTAAAGCAAAATAAATTAAACCGTAATTGGGCCGGATTACACACAAAAAAGGAGGAGAGGAGAATAGCATGACACACAACTTAATGACTTTACTCACAAATCACAATCAAAATATGTAACTGCTTGAAATGCAAACCGTCCAACACAACAAGGTGAGCATCAAGCGCCATTTCCAATTATATTGAGGTCTTAATGCAGATCCGCCATCCTTCTCTGCAGCCCAAAATATAGGAATAACAATGTCAGGCCATTTGATAATCCTTTGTTCGACTTATCTACCTTATCGATCAAGTTTTTATCAAATACTAGATTTTTTTTTCATGTGCGGATTTGTGTAATTAAAGTAAGATTGAAGTCACTGAATTGATTGAATTTAGTTCCATACTTTTGTATTTGTTTCAGTAAAATATGTTATAAATGTACTGTTTCCATAGTTCACCCATATTCAACTATTTCAGCAGCAATTGCAATGGATTAAGTCAATTTATAATTACCAAATAGGCTTCAATACTTTTTTTTTATACTAAAAGACCAATCCGAAAAAGTAAGTAGTTCGGTGTTTATTATATAAGTAATTTGTAATTTTCATGATTAGTAGATGTGATCCAAAATCCAAATAGACATGTGACATGTATTCCGTATTCGAGACTCAAGAGTAGTGAGTAGGAGTGCAAAAGAACGAATGGAGCTCAAACTTGGTTCTGCTCGAGCTCAAACGTGTTCAGCTCGAGCTCGTCTCAAGTATCGCTTGTTAAGAGTATGAGGTTCAAATGAGTTCATGCTCGAATTAGAGTTCTTGTTCCTTTCAAAAACAAATCTTCTACTTTCAATATTAGAAATTTTATATTCTCACAAACAGAATTACACACACGTATATATGACATGACTCACTATAAATGAGCGAGTTTGGCTCGAGTTTGGAATTAACCAAACTCGAGTAGAATATTGTGACTTAGTGAGTCATGAGTGACTTGACTCAATTGCCTTCATTGGGACGGAGGGAGTATATATATACATGTAGATAGAGATCGACAGAAGTACTTACGGGGACAGGTTGAGTCAAGGGAGGCAGTGAGAATGGTTTGGTTGGTGTAGCCAGCATATGTACACGCCCCGGACGTTGTGTTACCCCCGCCGGCGCAGCTACTACCACCGTTAACTGAACCTCCAAATTGGCACGACGTGCTCGGGCATTTTGACCAAACTGACGATTTCAGCTGTGTGGGTTGGCATTCTAAACTGTGCTCCATTATCCATTCCAAGAATCAGATGATTAATTAGCACAGACACAAGATCAATGAGTAAAGACTATTTATACAGGGGAAGGCACTGAATGGACTTACTTCCAGTTATTTACAGCGGTAGCGGCCGGAGCGTCACACTTGCAAGATACGCAATTGCCAGCCGTGAACACTACACTCCCATTTGGAACAAGCAGTGGGTAGTCCAGTGACGCGTTGCTTATCGCTGATCTACATGCTGCAAATGCAGAACATAAATGAGGTCAAAACTAATTCCGAGTGAATGGCCAAAGTTTAAATAAAGAAATGGCAAATTCTAGTTTAGCCGTAGGTACCCAAGGTTACCGTACCTTGTTCATTAGTCATTACTTCATACACATCCATCAAAATATTGTAATAATTAAAATATAAATAAATGAGGAATTGATGATATGGATCAATCATATGTGTTATAAGTTCAGGATTCACATTTTTTAATTGGATACCACAGCATGCACCTAAAAAAATTGCCTTAAACGAAAAAATTCAAAATAGAGGTATAATATCATTTCTTCTAATTATAAGTAATTACTATGATAATTTGAAAACACCATCAATCATGAGATTAATAGTATCATATTAGTATCTCAAGCTATAAAGTGATGATACCATGTTTTTAGGCAAAGGATAATCCCACCTGTTAAGACCCGGGGTTCCATCCTAAAAGGTCAACCTGATAGGAGGAGTAATCTAAAGTCTTATATAGTGTTTTATTGTTCTAAAGCTTTCCGGTGTAGGAAAAATACTTCAACACGCCCCCTCAGCCCGAACCGGGCTGAACAATATCGGGGTGTATAAATGGGCCAAACAGACCCTTAACAAGCTACCCTTAATCATGAGTGCTAAACAAATTTTCAAACCACAACCGAACCTGGCTCTGATACCATGTTAAGACCCGGGGTTCCATCCTAAAAGATCAACCTGATAGGAGGAGTAATCCAAAGTCTTATATAGTGTTTTATTGTTCTAAAGCTTTCCGGTGTGGGAAAAATACTTCAACACCACCTTTTCACCCCATCTTCTTTCATTGGACCCTGACCATGTTTTTTACTCTTTTTTGAAAATCTTATATAAATAATCTCACATTTATAAAGATATAAATAATCTCACCTTTCACTTTTCTATTATATCTTTATAAATGTGAGATTATTTATATAAGATTTTCAAAGAAAGGTAAAAAACTTGGTCAGGGTCCAATGAAAGAAGATGGTGTGCAAATGTGAGATTATTTTGGGATTATGTAAAGGTAGGTTTATTATGAAAAGACCAGTGAAAGGTGGGATTATTCTTGTCAATTTTTCCTTTATTTTTATCCTGTGATTTTTTATTGATTTTACTCATTTGGAATTGGAATAATGTCAAAAATATCACATTTACACTTTTGAAAGACGAAATATGATTAGTTTTCATTTTAAAAGAACGTGACTAAGGCTTTGTTTGCAAGTGCTTGTGCTTAAATAAAAGCACTTTTTGGGAAAAAGTGATTAATAGTAAAAGTTGGTAGTGTTTGATAAAATAAGTGTTTTTTGTGTAATAGAAAAAGTAAAAAGTAGATTCTACACGAAAACCAAGAAAATAAAAGTTGGTAGTGTTTGGTAAAATAAGTGCTTTTTTTCTTAGAAAAAAGCCACAATCACTTAAATTAAGGGGTTGCAAACATAGCCTAAGCTTTGTTTGGTTAATATATTTTGTTTAATACTAATTCCTACTCAACTACCCACGGCCTCCTACAGCAACACATGCCATCGTCTGTCGCTGGAACTGCAGTCGGCTGCTAGAAAAGTTGTTGGAAAATTCCGACAATTTTTTAATAGTTTAATGAATTTCCATGTAAAAATTCGAAAGAAAAAGTCACCGGGAAAATTCTCGGAAAACTTTGCCAAACTTTTTCATATTTTTTATATTCATCAGGAAAAATCGGGGAAAATGTCAAAGTCATAGTGACTGTTTCGCAACGACAGTGACAGTAATGGGGTAAGAGTGATAGTGATAGTGGCACTGATGTTAAGAATGACATCTATGGGTGACATAAAAATATGAAGATGACACAAAAACATCATGTTTTTTAAAATTTATTATCTTAATATCACATTTTTATCCAAAAGTAAAAGTAATCTCTTTTGAGAATGACCTAATGAGTTTCAATTTAGTCATAGTTAAGGAAAAATCCCTATAAATGTCTAGGGCTGGGTCCGGAAAACCGAAAACCGAATCAAATTAAACCGAATCGCAACCACATTAAACCGAACCGCTAACAAACCGAAACCGAATGTAAAAAACCGAACCGAATTGTAGTTGTTTGATTCGGTTTTGGTTTTTACCCTTCAAAACCGAATCGAACCGAACAAACCGAACTAATTAAAATATAAAATTTATTTGTTAATTGTTAAGCATTAATCCTAATTAATTAATCTTAATATAATTAATAGTCTTTTGTTTTCTTGTGCTAGAGAAATAATGTTTGTGTTATGTTTAGTTTAGTTTAGTTTATAAATTCATTTACACATTCATTGCCTGTAATAATGTAGCTATATTGAATGATGATAATATGTTTTTACTAGTTATTAATATAAATTAACTTTTAATTTTGTGTAACTTAAAGATTTTATATTGATGAAACAATAATTGTTCATCTCAACTATATCACATAGAACATATATACTAATGAACTTTTTCGAACTAATCACAAACAATGTAAATTAATAATATATACACTTTTATCTCTCTCGCATACTCATATAATTCAAGACATATTCATTTCTTCTCATTTTTATTTTATTTGTTGTAGTGTGCTTGCATTCTTTATATAATATATTAATATGTTTGATCCCTCTAAGTATTATGTCAATTTTAAATCATATGACAATTTTTTTGGTAAAAACCGAAAAACCCGAAACCGAACCGAAACAAATCGAACCAATCAAATCGTGGTTCCAAGTTTTGGAGTGTAAAACCGAACCGAAATTTTTACTCTAGTTCTAACCGAACTGCAAGAACCGAACTCACCCCTATAAATGTCCATATAAATGTCCAGAGTTCAGAGTACTCTTGAATGATTTCTTCAACAAATAATCCCTGTTTTTGAAACATTATTTTATTATTGATTTCTTAATTATATACTACTATCTCCAACCCGGGTAGACTTTGCCAAATGCAAAATAGGTGAGAAATAAATAGTAAAAACTGTGTGATTGAGATTTGTACAGAGGAGAGAGAAATGTGCAGAAACACAAATTAGTTGTTTTAATAGAAAAGTGACAAAGTTTTTTGGTACAATAAAAAAGGGAAAGTTAGCAAAGTTCAATGGGACAGAGGGAGTAGTACTTTTAAGTAATACTCTAGTTTTCCATCCGTCCCGCAATAAACTTCACACTTTCCTTTTTGGGCAGTCCCGAAATTAACTTCACAATTCAAAACTTTCATTATTTGTCAAATTATCTACATCAAAATAGTGTCAAACAGTGTTTGAACAGTGCAAAACAGTGCACTCTACAGTAAAGTCAAATTTATTTTCTTAATCTGTGTGAAGTCAAACCGAGAAATTTATTGCCGGACGGAGTGAGTATTTGAACATCGAGGCACTAATGATAGTGATAGTCAAAATATTTGAACATGAGTAAACACGCGTGTTATTTTCTTTATTTTATTTTAGTGCATACATGTCCACGCGCATAATGGTTGAGTGTTTCCAAGTTCCAAAAAAGTTGGTAACACTTCTCAAGTTGATTGCTAAATTATTTTAAAAGGAAAACACCTTTTTATTAATGAAATGATCAATGCAAAAGCAATTGAGATAATCTAATACGGAGTACTACAATGGAAAGATAATAAAAGTTAAATCTTTTCAATTATTAGTAAAGTCCATATTAATAATTAAAACTGACGTGTTTAGAAACCGGACTAAAAATTACACTGAGCATAAATCAAATTCGAACATAATGAAAACTGGTCATCAAAATAAGAGAAAAAATTTAAATTCTATGCAAAGCGGTTCAAGTTTCACCCACAAACTTTTCCTTTTACAAAGTCTATACAAGTCAAATTTGGTTGGTAATTTAGGGCAAGTTGGGGTAGTATATTCCATTATTAATTTGAGGAATTTTTCCTTGGTTTAGGTTAGTGAAGATGAAGAATTTAAACTAGAGAACTAATTAAGACAAGTAGATGCTTAATTACTTGGAAGAGGAACATCAAGGATAGCTCCAGCTATGAGATCCTTGGGGCTGCTTAACCCATTCAGCTTCAGCAGAGAATCCTGCGAGACGTTGTACTGCCCGGCAATCGCCTCCACGGAACTTCCGGCCTCCACCACGTGGCCGTAGTGAACCACCTTCTCCCCCTCCACGTCATCGCAGCTGCACGGCAGCGGGATCCACAATTTCTGACCCGGAACAATCAGGTTCGAATTCGGTATGTTATTCGCCGCCTGGATTTCCCCGAAGGTCACCAGGTTCCCGAACACCTCCGCCGCGATGTGGTACAGGCCGTCCCCGGGGGCCACCGTGTAGCTGGGGAGGCGATTGCTGGACCTGCCGGTGCCGTTGGCGCACGAGCACGTGAACGGAATCTTCAGTGTCCGGTTCGCCGGGAGGGTTTGGCTGCCCGGAGTGTTGAGCGGGAGGCTGTTGGCGCCCAGGATGGATCGGAGATTTTTTATGTTGAATAGGGATTTGACGGCGGAGAGAGTGGTGGCGTTGGGGGAGATGTAGTCTACAATGGCGTCGCAGGTTGCGCCCCGCCGGTTGCACTTGAACGCCTGAGCTTCTGCCGCCGGTAAGGTTAAGAATGGGGATAATAAAGAGGGAATGGTAGTACTGACTATTACTACCCAAACAAGAAGAAGAGCTGAAGGAGGAATAGAAGAAGTCATCTTCAGTTTATTTTCTTATCAATAAACTTAACAACTTGTTGGGGTGGGTCAGATTTGTGAATGTTTTAATATTTCTCTTTGCATTATATATAAAAAAAACTAACAAGTTGTTGACTTTGGCCAAGTAAGCAAAGAGAGTATGGGGAGTCAGAGCACACAAACGAATATGCCTTATACATGGGAGGAAACTGTCCTCCACTTTGTTATTGGGACAAGTATAGATAAATATGATGGCCTAATGAAAAAAATAAAATGGATGCAATAATGCAATATAGAAAAACTATTTCACATAGAAGAATTTGTTATGAGAAGTCTTATATCCAAATGTTTTTATTCGAGATAGAAGTTTAGTGTTTTTGATGATATCAATATGATCTTTTACTATATAAGGACAATAATGTATCTAATTAATGTAATTTCAAAAATTATAAGATCAGTACATATATGGGCAAGTTGTATTCGAGTAAAAATTAAACCTTTAGTTGATTGTTTAAAAAGATGGAATTGGGGGTTCATTACTCAAATAAAATGAAATGGATTGAAGTTTGTAGGAGGGTTTTAGAAGGTAAATGCATCAAATATCATGTAGGACATCATGACTCAAAGTCAACTTTGTTAACTCTGGCATGTCAAATGCTGGTTCAAAGAATGTCAGATCAGATAAGTGAGTATATTAGATTGATGAAAATGTCAACACACACATTTTTTTTTATTATGCTCCATAACATATAATAATATTTGTTTTATGTTAATTAAATGTCAGTATGATATGAATTTCTACTCGTGACTTCCTTTTTCAAAGTGCTAAAGTAATATAGTTGAATAACAAAGTCTGGGACACTTATATATGGACACATTTGGAGTATAACCATAAGAAGTATATCACGATAAAGAAAAAACCATTTTGGAATCAATTGTTGCAATACGTGAATGACAAAAAAAACCTTTCTACCAAGTAAAGTAATTCTTTCTATCACATTAACAACACGATCAACTACTACAACTTTCTTTCAGTACAGTGGCACTCACTAGATAACAAAATACCAATATAATGTTTTATCATGAAAAACAATAAATATAACGAAAGAAAAATCATTTGAAGCATGATATGATAAAATGGAACCTTTTCAATCTGTTTGTTCCTTAGGTATTTCATAATACGATATGATATATCATAAGTTCATACACCATGACATTTGGTGTGAAACGAAAGGGATGTGTTTATAGATAAAAAATGAAACAAAGTCACAATAAAACAAAATCTAAAGTGCTATTCTTCGAGTGACCATCGTCGTCACATACATGAAAAACCTATATGACTATATCCATGTTGACTCAGCTCCTACTCTTCACAAAATTGTAGATGAGTAAAAATGGATACTACCTCCGTAACGCTAGAATCTTCCCAGTTTGACTCTTTTGGGTCAAACTTTATGAACTTTGACCATTAATTATTCAAAACTGACATTATGTTATGATTAAAAATTTATTTTATATGACTCATTGTAAAACATATTATTTGAATGTTAATTTATTATGAATTTTATAAATATAGATATGTAGATATTTGCAGTCAAAGTTCAACTTAGAAGACCGTGAAAAGTCAAAATGGGAAGTTCTTTATGTTACGGAGGGAGTATATAATAATATCCGGAAGGGCCAGCCTCTTTCCAGTAGTGTGAAATGATGTTCACATAGTCAATTGCCCAGCCCCAATCCACCTGTCCCATTGCCACTCATATGAGCATATACAGATATACTCCAATAATAAATACGGAGTAATATACGTAGTACATCTTTATCGAATTGTTTGTTATACACCAATCTCAAAAGAAGTTTTTGACTCAATGTAAAGTGTAGTATTTGGTTTCGATTTAAATATATTAACATGATTGTGATTCTAAACAACTACAATATCCATATACACGTATCATAATTAAATTTAATAAAAATAAGCATTAATGCTGTACTATCAAATATCCAAAATTACAGCAAATTCTACTGAAGGCTTGAAGCACATTAAATTTTAAACCTTTGGATCACTGATCCTAAATCAGGGCCGGTCTTGTCCAGTTTAGGGCCTATGGGCGATAAACTATTTTGGCTTTATTTCCAAGACAAACAGTAAATTTTATTTACTTAAAGTAAAAAGGCTAAAGGGTCAAATAGGTACATGGACTAACTTAAAGTGTTCAATTAGCCCCTTATATAGAAGGTTCTTCCTGGCTGTCGCCAATTGGGGTGGTTCTCGGTGGAATTTTTTGATGAAATTTTTTGAGCATCTTCTTCATTAAGTCTAGTTTACCCATACCAAATTTGAGCTAAAAATTCAACCGGGAAGGCAGTCAAATGATTTTTGAAGATAACTGCGCAGTTAAACAATGCAGTACATTTCGGAAAATCATTTGACTGCCTTCCCAATTTAATTTTTAGTTGAAATTTGATTTGGGTAAACTAGACTTAATGAAGAAGATGTTAAAAAAATTTCATCAAAAAATTCAACCGGGAACCGCTCCAATTGGCGATGGCCAGGCAGAACCTCCTATATAAGAGGATAATTGAACACTTTGAGTTAGTTCATGTACCTATTTGACCCTTTAGCCAAGTAAAAATTACGGAGTACAATAAAACTAAGAGAAATTACTCTACATATGACTAAAAACGTTTGTATATTCCAAACTAAGATTATCATGTTTTTATTCTCTAAATAGAAGTAATTAATGTCATATTTTGGCAGTATCATATTTTACACATGATAGTATTTTCCGAACATGACAGTAATTACTTCTATTAAGAAAATAAACACATGAAAGTCCTATTTTGAAATTCTAAAAATATTTTACTCCTATTTCAGGAAATCTCCCTACAACTATCTAATAAAGGTTATAAAATAAAGATGAAATTCACCTTCGTATTATTTGAATTGCATATTTGGACAAAAGTAACAACACACGTATCAAAAAAGAACATTATGAAGTATAATCATAAACAATTGCTTTATAATCAATCTTTTCCAAGATCACATGTGCAATGTTTAAAATTGCTAATCCATTAAGTTTTTTGAGACATAATAGATAATTGGGATGATGTTTGAGAATTGGGAGGCACCGGTAGGCCAAAGACAATAATATAAATTGGTAATTTTGTAATTAAAAGAATAAAAAGTCTTAAGAGCTAAAAAGATGTGAAGAGACGTTCTTTTATTGATTCAACAACAAATGTGTTGACTTACAACAAACTTTATTTAAATATCAAAACTAAATTTGTATTCTTTTTAAAAGCTTGTCTAGCTTTGTTCAAGACTTTTTACTTGTGTTTTAAAATTCTTAAATTGTCAACAAAATTACACATTAGGCCTAATTAATTAATTGAAATTATAAATAAAAAAGAAGCATACTCATATTACATATAAAGAAAAAAAAATGGGCCTAATTTTCTTTCTATTTTTTTTCGGGCCTAGGGCGGTCGCCCCTGCTGCCCCCAGGACCGGTCATGCCCTAGATAGTTGAAAAAAGTTCATGCACCATGTTGCCATCAAAGAGTTGTGCTTTTTCACAAACGAATGAAACAAAGACCATACTTAAATAAATGGTATGAAGCAATATATAGAAAACATAGATTTCATAACATTAGTTATGTAAGGATCGTTTCCGTCTCCGGCTCAGGTCTCCAACCTTCTAAACTAAACTCACACACACCACTCTAGGGCTTAGGCCACTCCATCTCCCATGTTTACTCACTCTTCTTCACTCCACTAAGGAACTCTCACACAAAGGGAAAGGAAGAAGGAAGACACTGCACTGGGATGTTCTCTCGCAGGCTTATCTCACAAAGGGAAGGGAGTGTTGACTTTATAATAGGCTGCCTGCCTATAGAGAAGTCACGGGCATAATTAACAGGACACTCACGGGTATGTATAGGACACTCACGGGTAAGCCAAGACAAACAAAGGGTGCAGTGGACAGCAAGCAATGGGGCTGATTCCAGGTAAGTCAACAGGGCACCAATGAGTGATTTCAACTCAGGGAATCAAAGTGGGAGTAAACATGGGGTGCAGGCCTAAATAATAAAGTGGAAGGGAGGCCTTGGTAGGACCAATACCTCCAACATTCTCCACCTTATTGGTCCTAAGTGGTGTAGAGTAGCAAAACAGGTTGTGAGGAGACTCATCATCACCGGGTCACCCGGAATATCAACAGACACAACGGGCAAACACTTTATTAGGCAACCCACAGTTATCCACAGTCAAAATTTAACACGCGTTTACAGGACAAGTGCTTCTCAGCAGAAAGACACTTGGTACCCATATCCGCGGGGTTAAACTCCGACGGGATCTTGCACAGCTTGACTCCACCTGCATCAACAATATCACGTATGAAATGGAACCTAACATCAATATGCTTAGTTCTATCATGAAATACAGGATTTTTGCAAAGTTGGATAGCCGATTGGCTATCCGAGAAAATGGTAACTCCCTTTTTGAGAAACCCAATTTCGGAGACAAGGCGTTTGAGCCAGATGGCTTCCTTAAACGCTTCTGTGGCTGCAACATACTCGGACTCAGTGGTAGGAAGGGCCACAATAGGCTGTAGTTGAGACTTCCAACTAATGCAAGAGCCACACAAAGTAAAAACATAAGAAGTGGTCGACTTCCTGTTATCTCTATCATTTGCATAGTTAGAATCAACATAACCAATCAATTCAATACCACTAGCACATTTAGAGAAAATTAATCCATGCTTCACAGTAGAAATCAGATATCTAAGCAACCACTTAAGAGCATTCCAATGGGGCAAACCAGGGTTGGACATATATCTACTCAAGCAACTAACCGCATATGCAATATCAGGTCTAGTGCTAACCATAAGATACATCACCGACCCTATTGCGCTGGAATAAGGCACAGATTTCATTTTCTCAATTTCAGGAGCAGTCTTGGGAGACTGGTCCTTACTTAACACAAAGTGAGATGCCATAGGGACATTAACAGGAGAAGCAGATAACATATTAAATTTACTCAAAACTTTTTCTATGTAAGAAATCTGATTCAAAGTAAGAGTACGCTTACTCCTATCCCTAACAATGTTTATGCCTAGGATCCTCTTGGTATCACCTAGGTCTTTCATGGCAAAATTCGCACAAAG